AATAACCCTGCTAATAAAGCCCTGAACCCCAAACCCTAGAACTCAGACTCCCGCAAGAAGCCCTAAACCCCAAACCGCCAAACTCCGTAAACCCGACGCCCCGCAAGCCCGTGAAGCCTCATGCAAAGCAACCTGAAAACCGAAGGCGTAAACCACACAGGGCCTAAACCCCAAACCCAAAGACTCAAACCCACGAAGGGTTTAAGGTACAGGTTTTTCCGTTCTTTCACCAGATAGAAATTGCGGGGTTTCATTCTGATGACTTGCAACAACCAGCTCAAGATTCTTGTTATCGTCCCGAACCAATTATTCCAAGTTGTCGCGATTACAGAGTTAGGTTCCTCAGAAGCTCATATTTGGGTTTAGGGATCACACGTCACAAGATAATCCCGGGATCTGCACAGAATATGCGTTGAAAATGATAACCTCCCACGCAAGCCGAATTATATGCACAGCTGCTCGCAAGCCATGCGCAACATGTATGCACGCCATTGTGAGTTTCAAGCGCTCATGCGTAGAATGAACAACGCATGCGGTGGTTCCAAGCAATATTGCCCGAAATGCTATTTGGGTGGCAACTCGATCGTACGGCAAGCTATACAAAATCCAATCTCGCTCTGCATTCGGATATTGCCCGAAATGTTATCTGGGCGAAATCAAATACATCAAGCTATCCAAAATTGCAAAGTTGCTCGATCCGTGCTTTTTTCAGCGACTGGCCAGCCAACAGTTGTACTGCAACAACCAGCGTTGCAGCACCCTGCTTGACAGGGTTCCTGCATGGCATGCGCCCTTAGCGCAGGCCATGACTTTTCCAATAAAGTCCTCCTCGAGATTACAGCCGGCGTACCGAGGATTTAGACGGCTGTGGCTCAATCTACAAATCACCTCGCAATGATATTGATGAAATTTAGGGCGGATTTTGTACCTGAGCTGCTCTTTTGGACTGTTCTATAGATCGTTCAAACACACTCCACGCACCGCCGAATTACGACAATCGATCGACGAGAGGCCGCGGTAGCAGCAACTCGAGGTATCGCGAAGCCAAAGCCAGGTAGGAGTGGCAATACCATCTGCCGAGCCTTGGATCATGTCAGGATAGCATAAAAATTGGGATTTGCAGGCAGCGCATGGAGCACCGATGCAGCAAGGATTCTGCTGTGCCAGCATGGCTTCATCATTCGTCAGCCAGATCGAGCACTTATCCAGCAGATTCGCGAAGGCTGTTATGGACCACGCATTCACAGCCGCCAATCGAAGCTCCGGAATCGATTCGGAGAGCTCCTTATAATGGTTCTTTACAAACCCACCTGAATAAAACGTGGACCGCACATCGTCGCACAGTCGCACATGCAATATCAAAAGGCAAGCGGCAGACAGCCGTTCGGCTAAATAAGCCATCCTGATGAGAGCGGCGTTCTCTGTTTCTCTCTTCTCTCTTCTCTCTCGCTCTCTCTCTCTCTCTCTCTCTCTCTCTCTCTCTCTCTCTCTCTCTCTCTCTCTCTCTCTCTCTCTCTCTCTCTCTCTCTCTCTCTCTCTCTCTGCATAGTGTGCCAAGCCACAACACGCGGTTGGCCCATCCTTTTCCGGGCCCCAGTGGATAATCCAATGAAACCGCATCGATCCCCAATTTGACAAGACCTCAGAAACTGAGGCAGCACAAGTGTCATCACGTACAAATGCCTGTCACCAGAAGAGAGTGCTGAATAAGTAGCACAGCCCTAAATAAGAGAAGCTAGGTGACTCAGACCATCAAGGAGGCTGGGTCGAAAATGGTGCTCTCTGCACCACATCTGAAAGTCGCCATGCAGCACGTGCAACCTTTCATCCCATGTCTCGTAGGTCTGCAGCTGCGGAGAAAGTCTGGCCAGCTCCATAACATGAGACGCCGTTGCGTCTCTCACTGTTCCCAGATACAAGCAATGGAGCAAATCAGGATATTCACACGAATGATGGTAGCCAGGTACTTTCCACATCCTTAACGACATTTCGTGATGCAACACCATATACGACTGCCTTCGATCTGCAGCCTTGCATGCCGCAGACCCACATAAGCCAGCAAACATAATTAAGTCAAGCCTGGTGGCGGGATTTCTGGGCCAACGCCTTAGACCAAAGGAAGCAACGCATGCAACAAATGACATCTGCCGCACACATCAAGTCAAACTTGCACCGTTATTATCATGCCCTTATTCGAGCAGGTACTGTCATTCGCGGCTTCCCGCAGATCAGCCGGGTTGTCGAAGCCCTCCTGCATATCGGCCCAGTGCTTTCCAGGTGTGCTGCCATCGCACAGGCACCTCGGGCAGATCCTGCCACCCTCAGAAGCACGAGCAGGAGCATTGCCAGCCAAGTTCATATAGTGGCGCTTCTGCTGCAACCACTCGCGTTTGTGCTTCCAGTCTCCCTTGGATACGACAGGGTGAATGCTCCATCCATGTTGGCCTTGGCCGTCGCAAGAGCCGCAAATCCGGAATGAATCTGCAAAGCAGCGCTGCAACCCTTCAAGTGTCAGGTTCTTTCCGTCTTTGTAAGCAAACCTGTCCGCTCGCACGACCTCAGATGAGATTTGGTATAGTGTGCATATACCATATGCACAGGAAACTGCAAGCTATATGTGCATGTGCTGCAGGAATAAAGGCAACACCGAGGCACGCAAAACGGATATTTCTGCAGCATGCTGTCGGCACGGTGGATGGCTAAGGAGGATAGTGAGATAACCAAGACGCTTTTTGATCTCTTTGCAGTACCCTCATCACCGTGTATGGACACGGCCACCGCTTTGCGCCTGGCCTCTTCCGGCCAAGCTTGCACCGGGTGATTCCTTGTTTATGGTCGACGAATCCATACATGCAGACGAATAATAATATACTTCTGCGAGTCTAGATATACTGACTACAAAGCAGTAGCATCCAAACAGTTCGGACAAGGCGCATCCCCCAAGGCTCAGTCTTAGACTTTTCCCACCAGTCCACCCAGTCGACAGTACCGGCCCTTGTTTATTTTGCACAAAAACTCAACACATCATGCATGACATCACCAACAACGGGATCTACATGCACAATGCTACCAAGCATCAGCTCGGAGATCAGGCCAGATTGAACCATGTTCTTGAATAGAACATGAGGCAGCAGAACTGGCAGCAGTTGCAAACTTGTCTCACCCACCGCCTTGGCCCTGGCACTTTTTTTCTTGGGTCGACGTCTCCTGATTCCTCGATTGAAGCGAGCTCTCGCCTGTCGCCGCTGTTGCTGTTCTTGGCGCACTTCGACACGTGAATCTTTCATCATGATAGACACTCCACTCAACGGGCATCGTAGTGGAGCCTCGGATGAACGATGCGTTTGGCTCCGACACACTGGCACACATGAAACACATGCGGTCTCATATTATATTCAGACATGCGACATCACCCTTCGGAGAAGCTAAAGCCTTGCTGAGCCGTTCCTCGATGTGCTGCCGACGACGACCCGACGCACCTAGCGTCGCAGCCCACCTTGTACCTTGGAACCGTAGCTTCACAGGCATGTATGAGTTTGCCAAAAACGGTCGTGAGACTCGGAACATACAGAACTACTTTCGACAAGGCTCTGGCGGTCACGTTCGAAGGGCCCGACTCAGTCACCGCTGCAGCTGAAATTTCTTGAAGAAGTCCGGAGCTTGCTCCGCGGCCCACGCGGAAACCAATGGTTCGACTCAATGGACTTTGATGCAACGAAAAATCAGCACTCGATGGCCTTCTCTCCACATCAGCACTGCCAGCCGCCTTCTCACGAAGGCTTTTGTTCAAACCCAGCAGTCTCTTCAGCAGTGGCATAAGCCGGGGATCCCATGCAAAACGAAGCCATCATGATGGGGCGAGGGCTCTTTCGACGGTTCGAGTTTATATGCTCTATGTGTGTATGCGTGTGCATGCGTGTGGCGCACATGTGGTATAAATTACATAGTTTTGTGGTGCTTACTCAAGGGTAGGCCGGGCTACGTGGGGGTTGTGGTGGTGTTGGTGGCCGGTGTTGTTGTTGTTGTTGGCTGTGTCGGCAGTATATGTTGGTTGTGGATGGAGGTGTGGGGACGGACCTATGCGTTTCTGATCGAACATCCTGTTTGGCTGAATGACGAAATAGGACATTAACCAACAACTATAACTGTGGGAAGAAGCCGCGGGCCGTCCAACATAAGAAGTCAACAGTCTGATCATGCTCGACTGATGCCGTCGTGCGCAGAAATTCGCTGCAATGCATCTGACACTTGATCCGCAACCGACACGTGTTTTGGGGCTGGCCGCACTGGATATGGATGAAGGCAAGACCAGTTTGCACTTGGACCCCGATCGAGCGCAGCACGGTCTCCAATGGAGCGCAAAGCACGGTACTCGATCATAATACACTACATGCACAGCTGTGTGCACATATATCAACTATAACACACCCACAAACAACAAGGGCTCCATGTGGAATCTGCGATGATGACTTCTACAATCTCGATGACATCACTTTACGATGGGATTCCGTGCATACGCAGTCTTCGCAAAAGATGAACATGTGGTCCCATGTTCCTGGCTGCTCGATCCCCGCTCACACTCGCGGCACACTGATCTACAGCAGAGGCAGAGTGATGAGCCCGTGAACCCTCAAGCGCCAGATCGCAAAGGAAAATCACGAGACCTCCAGGATCGGATGCAGACGGCTCGGCAGCCGCGGTGGCACATATATTGTAAGTGTACATGTTGGTCCGACATATAGAGGAACCCACCATTATATACCAAGACCATCACGGAATCACCATACATATCAGGGTTACCGTGCTTAATTGCAACCACAGCATACACTATGCAACTACGTACTGCATGAAGCTTCCCTGTTATTCTCTATCTATACTCTATACCGACCTATACATCTACCGACATACCTAAAATATCGGCCCAGCTATACGTAGCTTGTCGGTTGTCCTATACAAAAACTCACAGCTGTCGGTCCGCATCACGGTCCACGGCTCGAAGCCTAGCTCTCCGCTTTGGAGGCTGCTTTGGCTTTCTTCGCAGTTTTTGCGGGGCGTTTCTCCGCAGCGATCCTCAGTTGATTATTCGTCGCTCGGCAACATTGTGCACGCATGCTGCTACTTTACGTGACAGTCCATATAAAACAAGAAGCAATCCATTCGCGACTCGCATGTGCTTCTTGAAGCCCTCCACGAAGACGGCGGCCTGGGATGTCTCACTATATGCCGGGGTCTGGGTTTGGGGTTTAGGGTTTGCAACTCACAAGCACCGCATATGAAAGCAGGTCGTAGGTCCGAGTCGCTTCCAAAAGGGCCGACTGCACATCCGATGCCACGGGCGCGGGCCCCAGGAGCTGCAGCTTCTTGCGGCAGGCACCAATGCCATCGGCACAATCCCGAACTTTGCTCATCAAAGCCTCCTGGCTGTCCAGCACCTCCAGCCTCAGGTTTACTCAGCAAAGCAAATGCAACCACGGAAACACGCTGCTTCCACACAAATCATGCATTGCAAAGGCACTCCGCACAGGTTTTCACGGCTTGCCCCTGAGCCGTGTTAGCTGCCGCCACCCAGGACTTCACGAAAAGCGTAACACCTTCCGTGCTGATAGCCAGCTCCAAATCATGGTCCAAATCAGAACCCTGCGAGGACAGGGGGCAATATGCGAGCTGGGAATAGCGCAGGCGTGCTTCTTTGGTGTGAAAGAAGGGAAAGGGTTCGAGAGCATTATCGTTTATAGCCCGGCCTCTGGACGAGCAGGTCTCGCCTTTTTGGGCGGAGGATCTTCTGTCGTGGTGGTCTCCGGAACGCCAGCATTCTGTTTCAGAGTCTTGCCGTTCTTCGGGGGCGGCTTCGGATTCGGCGGGTTCTCCGAGACTTCAACGCTGGGCCGACCACCACTCGAGCCCTGGATGGGCACAGCACCGTTCATCGTGTCGAGCTGCGCGGCGACGGAAGCCGCAAAGCTAGGTGAGCAGCCCATGGTCATTGCAATGTCGTCCTGAGGACTGGTTGCAAAAGGTGCGACCAGTATACAGGGACCACTACATGGCAATCGTGCACACCAGCAAAATGCACACTAGATCATGGGAACGATCGACACCGAGCCACGATCGTTCGGTTCGTGAAGCTCTTCTTCTGCCTCCCGTAGTACAGGAAAGTTTCGACGGTAGCGTCGTTGCGGTCACACGACGTCCTGCGGGGGTGCATGCAAAGCTGAACATACTGAAACCAATATTTTATTCCGAAACAATAACCAAACTGCACCAACGATCTGCACAGGATGTGACGCGGGGTCCCGGACGGCTCTGTGCGCCGTCGTTGCACGAACTGAAGGGCCTTGGTCTCGTTGCCATCATGAAAGGCCAAAATATCCTTCCATGGATAATATTCACCTGCGCAGGAGTGTGGGTTTGTCTGAATAAGTAGGTGGGTGCATGCATGGGTGGGCGGGCGGGCGAGCTAGTGGGTGGGTGGGTTTATATATATATATATATATGTATATATATATATATATATATATATATATATAGCTAAATCTGCCGAATATAAGTCTCTATATATATATATATATCGAGGATCTATGTGTATATACATATAATATATACAATATAACAATATGTAGCACACACAATTAAGCACGACTGATAAACCCTGGATGCGAAAGTGCCTTCGTCCTTGTCCTCCTCCTCCCTTTGCCGCCGGAATCTGAGAGCGCACTCCAAGGCCTTTGGGTCACCTTTGTTGGATGGGCTTGAATGATGGATGGTAGTCAATGCATGGTAGCTTCTGCATGCGTGGAAATCCAAAGTCAACACTCTCATATATAATTGGCCCTGCATGATGGACAATATAGTGCACATAATCAGCCTAGTCGCAGCCTGTCAACACAAACTTCTGGAACATCGCCAAACGCTGCGGTCCACCCTGCACCCAAACCTTCTTCAACTCCTCTGCTCCCGGCGAGTTTTCACAAAACCGCTGGAACGTCTTGTACTCGGTCTTGTGGGTTCCCGAATTGATGATAGAGCGGATAGCGGTGGGCCCTGGCCTCGCGAGAGCGAGAGTGGTGCAAGGAGGCGGAGTGCTCGGGGTTCCAGGCGGATTAATCGACGGGCTCGGCGTTGCAGGTGCAGTTGCGGGGCTCGGACTCGCTGGCGACGGCTGCAAGTCAAGGCCACTCGCACTGTCGATAATCTTTGTTTTATCCACAACAGCAGGCTGCTTCGGCGGCACAGAAACATCAGGAACAGGGGCAACAGCCAGCTGCTGCTGCTGCTGCTGTTGGAGCGGCTGCGCAGCCGCTCCTCCGGTTGCTTTCGCAACAAGCGCCTTCAAGGATTCTTGGATGCTTCCAAGGTTTGATGAGTCAGCACCATCAGCAACAGACAGCTGGCCCATCGATTGGCTGAGCAATGCAGCCAGCATTGTCAAGGCTTCATTCGTCATGGGAGCAGCACCTGCTGTAGTCGTTGAGGGCTGTCCCGGATGCTCTGTTGCCGCCCTGGTCGGAACAGCCGGGAGTTCCATTTTCGGCGGTACACTTGGTGGCCCCTTCGCCACAGCAGCACCAACGTTGGCCACCTCCGGGGTCACGACAGCAGCAGTCGCAGGTGTTGGAGCAACAACGTTGGCCACCTCTGCTGGGGCCACAACAGCAGCAGTCGTAGGTGTCGGAGCAACAACGTTGGCCACCTCCGGGGTCACGACAGCAGTCGTAGGTGTTGGAGCAACAACGTTGGCCACCTCTGCTGGGGCCACAACAGCAGCAGTCGTAGGTGTCGGAGCAACAACGTTGGCCACCGCCGCGGTCACGACAGCAGCAGTCGTAGTAGGTGTCGGAGCAACAACGTTGGCCACCATTGGGGTCACGACAGCAGCAGTCGTAGGTGTCGGAGCAACAAAGTTGGCCACCTCTGTTGGGGCCACGACAGAAGCAGTCGTAGGTGTCGGAGCAGCAACCTTGGCCACCACTGTTGGGGCCTTCACAGCAGCAGTCGTAAGTGCCGGAGCGGCCGACTGGGTAAAAGCAGGGCTGGGTTCCACGATCTCAGCTGTCGTAGGCGACTGAACCGACTCTTCGTCCACACTCGACCCCAGCGACGAATTCGATCTGAACCGCTTCCAGAAACTGCCATACATGCGTTTTTCATCAGGGCTCAATTCCGGCAAGGCGTAATCGTCCTGCATATAGGGGCCACACTAAAGATAGCTTTATTACCCCAATGCAGTCAAAACCACAATGCCCTCTATATGCATATCAATATTTATATATATATATATATATATATATATATACATACATATACATTCATACATACATACATACATACAAACAAATAATGCATACATATCACGAATCACCCGGCAAATTATACGGTGTATGTCCTTCGCAGCAGGAGACGCCCGGGTCTTCTGAGGTGAAACCGAAGCCTCCTGGAGCCCTCTTGTAGAGGTGAAACCGAAGCCTCCTGGAGCCCTCTTGTAGAGGTGAAACCGAAGCCTCCTGGAGCCCTCTTGTAGAGGTGAAACCGAAGCCTCCTGGAGCCCTCTTGTAGAGGTGAAACCGAAGCCTCCTGGAGCCCTCTTGTAGAGGTGAAACCGAAGCCTCCTGGAGCCCTCTTGTAGAGGTGAAACCGAAGCCTCCTGGAGCCCTCTTGTAGAGGTGAAACCGAAGCCTCCTGGAGCCCTCTTGTAGAGGTGAAACCGAAGCCTCCTGGAGCCCTCTTGTAGAAGAAGCCTCCTGGAGCCGAAAGAGGTGAAGCCGAAGCCTCCTGGAGCCCTCTTGTAGAGGTGAAACCGAAGCCTCCTGGAGCCCTCTTGTAGAGGTGAAACCGAAGCTTCCCTGGAGCCCTCTTGTAGAGGTGAAACCGAAGCCTCCTGGAGCCCTCCCTCTTTGTAAAGGTGAAACCGAAGCCTCCTGGAGCCCTCTTGTAGAGGTGAAACCGAAGCCTCCTGGAGCCCTTTGTAGAGGTGCAACCGAAGCTTCCCTGGAGTCTTCTTGTGGTCGGCTGCCCGCCGGGCCTCGGCTCTCCAAAAACGGCCCCTCCGGGGCCATCCTTGTGCCAGCACCTTTTGGATCTGGGCATTCCCCTTACGCCTGAGCAAAAAACCGCGGTGGCAGACACTCCGTGGACCCTAAGCTCACACCGGAGGCCCTCGAAGCAGCAAAAGGCACGTGAACAGGCTCAGAGCACAGTGGCCCTAACCAAAGAGGCCATGGCAAAGGCCTTTGCCAGACTCCCCACCAAGGCCCCAGGGCCGGATGGTTGGAGTTACGAAATGCTCAGGGCCTTGCCTGAGGATGCCGTTGCTGAGTTGGCGGCCCAGCTCAGAGGATGGGAGCTTGCTGCTGGACTTAACGTCCTTTTACGAAACAGTACCACACCAGGTGCTGTTAGAGAAAGGGGTGGTCCACCACTTCCCGGAGATGCTTTTGGAAAGAGCCCTCAGCTGCTACGAGGGCCCACGGTACATTGAATCCCAGGGGGCCCTTTCAAGGCCCATCTGCGGAAGCAGGGGCCTCATAGCGCTGCCCGCTCGCTCCGGCTCTCTCGCGAGTGATCCTCCATGAGCCGCTCGCCAAGGCCTCCCAGCGCAGCACCACAGACCAGCACGTCGATCTGTGGATAGATGACTGTTCGGTCGATACCGTCGATCAAAATGTGCAAAGGACTGCTGGCCCTGGCTGGGCCTGATGGTCCCAAGGTTGTTGGAGTTGGCAAGGACCTTGGCGCCTGGATTCTGCAGCCGGTGCCAGGCGCAGGATCACCACCCACTAAAGCCAGACACCAAAAAGGGGCCCGAAGGGCAGCCCAGCTCCAATCTTTGAAAATCGGCAAAGTTGGCATCAAGGTGCGGCTCTACAAAGGATCCATCCTTTCCTCGGCCCTATATGGGCATGAAGGTGTTGGTGTTGCCCCCAAGAGACGGAAGTGGTTCAGGGGGCTTCTGGCACAAGTGCTGGGCCGACCAAACAATGCCAGCGTAGGAGCCACCTTGGATTTCCATGGCAACAAAGTCGAGGACCCTTGGTACACAATCCTGGCCCAGCATTTTAAGGCCGTTCGCCGGCTTTTGCTGCAGTGGCCGGAACAGGACTTTGACAGAATCCAGCAAGGCTGGAACAGCCTGGAGGTGTGGCTCAAAGAGGCTGAGCACCCCTGGAAAAGGGCGGCTGGACCGCTTGGTGCCTGTTGGTGCTACTTGGACGAAATGGGATGGAAGCCGCTCAGCATTCATCAGTGGACAATCGGGTCCAAAACCTATGACATCCTGCAGGCAGCTGAGTTCCATGAGGTCCTTTTCCTTGCCAAAAGATGGGTTAATGCCACCCGACACCAAACCTGGGCAGCGATCGATGGGGGTCGAGGCCTTGAAACTGGCCCGGATTGGACCATGCCCAGGAAAATCCTGAAGAAGGCCGACAGCCTCACAGGAAAAGCCTTAAAGTCCATTTGGCAAGGAGCGGTCAGGGCGTCACCGTATGCCACCTGCCAAAGATGTGGAGTGCCGGCCACCAGAAGGCATGTTTTGTGGGATTGCCAATGGTGGAAAGAGCATGGTGAGCCCGAACCGGCATGGTGGCCCTCCAGGGAGGACCCAAACTATCCAGAATGCCTTTGGGACTTTGGGCTCCTCCCAAGGGACCCTTCCTGGCCGGAATGCCAACATGCTCAAGATGAGGCCATTGAGCTAAAAGGCGTTTTGGCAGAAGGGGGGTCCGTCCCACCCGAAGCCTTCGCGGCCACGGATGCAACAGGGGGGTCTGAAAACGACCAGAGAACGCGAGAAGTGGTATGGGGTGTTACCTTCTACATTTGGAAGGAGGGCCAACCCCACTGGATTGGCTCAGCCACGGGACTGCTCAAGAATGAGCAAAGCGTTTACCGTGGGGAGGCCAGGGCCATTCATTTTGCGGCGCAGCAGCTCCAGCCCGGGGCAGATGTCACAAGTGATTGCAAAGGCGCGGTGGTGAGAAGCCGCCGCGGCACCACAACTAAAGGCCGCCATCTTGACATCTTTGGAACGGCCCCCACGGAGCAGCTTGATCTGCATTGGGTCCCCTCTCACCTCACAGCTTCCGCATTTTTGGAGCAAGTTGGGCCGGGCCAAGAATGGCGCAGAGTCATCAATGATGAAGTCGATCGCCTCATTGGGGCGAGAGCAAACACAAAAGAGGCGAAAGACCGAGCAACTGCCCTCAAGCAATCTGATGCGCTGGCAGAGTCGGTTGCACTTTTCCTGGGAAGGCGCATGCAAGCATTGATGGGGTATGACAAAGATCAAGGCCCACAGGTTGTGTACCCCAGGAAGACGGGCGAGGAAAAATCGGCAGAGTCGTCCAGCCCCTCGACCAGCAGGTCTTCGTTTCAAAAGAGAAGACGGACCAAGAAAGGCAAAACCCCACCGGCCCACGGGGGGGAGAAAGGCAAGAAGGCCCAGCCCGCCGAGGAAACATCCATGCCCAATGGGGCTCCAGAGCAATCCGGCGGTGAAGCTGACGCGGCAGGCCAGCTCTCCTCCCATGGGCCGCAGACGGCCAGTTCAAGGCCAGAGGGGGGGCCCAACGAACCCCAACCCGCAACAAAGGGAGAGATGCCAAAGATGGCAACGAAGCAGGGGTCGCGGACCTTCCTCCCGCCCAGTTGCCGCCTGAGGCCAATAAGAGGCAAATCTTGTCGGCTTTGGTGGCAGGCCAAATCGACACTAAGGGGCACAGGTTCGTCAAGGGTGGCACGGCTGCAAACAACCTGCAGATCAAGTGCGAGGAGTGTGGCTTGTGGATTCAACAGGCCGATACCAAGCCCAATTTCAATAGGAAAGTTGCCAACTATTGCAAAAACCACCCCCTCAGTGTTCCGTCTTCGGAGTGGAAGTGGCATGATTCGCATGCCATGTGCAATGAAGGTTGCAGGTGGAAGTGCTCTCAGTGTCATAGTGTGCAGCCAGTTGGAGGCCTCACACCTGCAGTTCTTGAACGCTTTTGTGCACATGGTAAGCATGGTTTGCAGCGTAAGCGTGCGGCACGTGACACACTTGCAGCTGCTGGTACCCCTTCTGTGAAGCAGTTTTTCGCAAAGCCTTTTTCCTAGCGCGGCCATGGGAGCCCCAGGTAAAGGTAAAAGGGATCCGCCGCCCGATGGCCATGTCCGGCGGCCGTCCAAGAAAGACCGGGACAGGCTCAAGGCCTTAGGCCTCTGGAACCCTGGCGGCAAGGCCAAAGGCAAGGGTGAGCCCGCCAAAGGCCAGGGCAAAGCCAGAGATTCTAACCCACCGCGATATCGGGGGGAGTGGGGCCGTGAGCACGACCCACCGCAGCACCGGGGGTACAGGGACAGGGAGCCCGACCCACCGCACCACCGCGGTTACAGGGACAGAGAGCCCGACCCACCGCACAGACGGGGGGACAGAGACCGAGAGCCCGACCCACCGCGCAACCGGGGGGAACGAGACAGAGAGCCGGACCCACCGCGCCAACGGGGAGAGGGCAAAGGCCAGGGCAGCGAGAGCGAGCCTGACCCACCGCAAAACCGGGGGGAAGGCCGGGGTGACAACAACACCTGTCACCCCAGTCCTCGCCTAACAAAGGGAGTGAAAGCGGCACAGAGCGGAGCCGCACGCCCCCGGCTAGGCAGGAACCTGCCCGAGAACCCGAGGCGAAACCAGCAGCTGCCGAGACAGACGAAGCCACAAGCCCGGCGGAGGCAGTGAAAAAGCTCGACCCACCCTGCTCAAGAGCAAAGCCAACCCTCGGCCACACAAGGGGGCCCGACCCACCCTGGCGCGGCCCCAAGTGAACCAGCAGGCCAAAAGGGGAGTCCGACTCACCCAAAAAGTGAGGAGGGCCCTTCTAGGCCAACATGGCCGGTGGAAGTGGGGGACACACCCCTGCTCCTCTTCACGCCACATGTGAAGAGGTCTCACAACACTATCCACTGGCTTGCTCAGGTTGGGGACTCGCTCGCGCTAAGGGGTTTCAGTGACTGCTATGCCCTCCTTGGTATAGGGGGCAGCCGGGCAACCTCCGAATGCCCGGGAAATCCCGCCTTGTGCTGGAAACTTACTTCCAGCGAGCAGGAGCCAAACCGCCGATTTGGCCATGGGCCAGAGAGTCGCCTAGGGCAAGTCATCCCTGGGATATGCGCAAGCAAGACCCGGGAGGTGGGCCCTGGAATCCTCCAGATTGG